ATAAATATGTGGAAAACCATGCAGATTAGGGTACCAGTGGCTCAGCACCCAGGCCCAGAGTTCAAGCCTCATGACCAACAATAAATACATACATACATACATAAAATGCATAAAACTACAGCTGGGCACTGGTGGCTCACACCTGTAATCATAGCTATTGAGGAGGCTGAGATCTGAGGATCACAGGCACAAAAGTCTAAGACTCTTTTTCTTTTTTTCTGCTTATGTGGTGCTGAGCAATGGAACCCAGGGCCTCATGCATGCAAGGCAAGCGCTCTACCACTGAGCCATCTTCCCAGCACCAAGTCTGAGACTCTTATCTCCAATAAACCACTCAGAAAATCAAAAGTGGTGCTATGGTTCAAGTGGTACAGCGCTAGCTTGAGCTGAAGAGCTGAGAGACAGGGCCCAGGCCCAGAGTTCAAGCCCATAACTGACATAAATAAATAAATAAATAAAACTATGCACAATTACCTCATGTGTAACAGCTTAAGTTTGTTTTTTTTTTCTGTATGCATGCTGGTCCTGAGGCTTGAACTCAGGGCCTGGGCACTTTTGCTAAGCTTTGCTAAAGGCTAATGCTCTACTACTTCTGGTTTCTTAGACTGATTGAGGTAAAAGTCTCACGGGCTGGCTCTGCACCACCCTCGTGCCTGAGCGTGCTGAGTAATTAGGACGGGATGGGAGAGACAAAACCACCAGTATCCAGCTGGCTAGCTTTGTTGTTGTTGCTTTAAAGGGTTTATCTTTGTAGACATGAGTAAGGTTCGGTAATAAAATGGAAAATCAGCTTAACTTGAAATTAAGGTTAGTTACAATGTTCAGGAACATTTTATGCCATGTCTCAAAACGTATTTAGCCAAAGTAGTTTCTGAAAATTTTTAGCATATACTAATGCTCATTAAAGAACATTACTTTTATATTGCTGCTCCTGACTAAAAGAAAAAGAAAAATCTTCATGCCTTTTAATAGAGTTTCCAACCCTCCATGCCAAAATATTTGAGGAAACAGAAGAAGCAGGAAGCTACCTCTGTGTCTCCCTGAAAAAGACCAGTGAAGAATTCTTTGACTGGCCTTTAAAATAGTTCAAACTTGCATTCCAGAGGTCCTTTCTTACAAAAAAAATACCCTTATCCTCAAAGAGATAGATATACTCAAAAGTAAATAAACTTCTTTGCTAACTTTCCTCCAGTTTATTCCTTCTGTCAGTAATAGTTGTCTTTCTACCACTTGAGTCACACCTATTGGCTGATTCATTGGCATATTGCTGGTTCATTGGAGATGGAGCCTCAAGGACTTTGCCTGAGCTAGCTGGGAAGCTTCATTCTGATAGCTAGGATTCTAAGTATGAGCCCCACCAATGCCTAAATTACATCAGTAATATTTAAAAGGTTTTTGGGAATACTTCCTAAAATTTTCATAGTTAACTTAGTTTCAAATGCGCTGTTTTGCTATAAATATGTAATTCTGAAAAAATATTAATTTTTAACATATCTGTAGATGCTAAACATACTGATATGGTATCTACCATTATCAAAAATACATGAACACAGCCAGGTGCTGGTGGCTCACGCCTATAATCCTAGCTATTCAGGAGGCTGAGATCTGAGGATTGCATTCAAAGCCAGCCTGACAGAAAAGTCCCCATGAGACTCTTAACTCCAACCAACCACTTAAAAGCTGGAAGTGATGCTGTGGTAGAGCACAAGCCTTGAGCACAAAAAGCCTCAGGGAAGCCTGGCACCCTGGTGGCTCATGCCTGTAATCCTAGCTGAGAGATCTGAGGATCACGGTTCAAAGCCACCCTGGGCAGCCAAGTCCGTGAGACTCTTATCTCCAATAAACCACTAGAAAACCAGAAGTGGTGCTGTGACTCACGTGGTAGAGCACTTGTCTTGAGCTGAAGAGTGCAGGGTTAGCGCCCAAGCCCAGAGTTCAAGCCCCAAGACTGACCAAAAAAAAAAAGCCTCAGGGACAGTGCCCAGAGTTCAAGCCCCACAACCAGAAAAACAAAAAAAATATATGAATACGTAGGGCTAGAGGTATGGCTCAAGTGGTAAAGCTCCAACTGTGAGTAAAAAACTGAGCATACCCCCACTGCTAAAAAAATTGTTTAGCTCTTTAAAATTTTATTATATATAAATTATATAGGTATTACAGGTTATAATATGTGTATGTGTATATGTATAAATACAATTATATATGTACATATATATTATATGAACTTGCATATTCATTCCTTTGTTATCCTAGAGCAGTGGTTTTCAGAGGGGTAGAGTCCTTGGAAGTAATGATGGTAGAGACTTTTCCCACATGTGGACATGTGGCAGACATTTTTAATGTTATAACTGAAGGAATGGCGCTGGGGACATATAATGGATGTGAGAGATACTGTTAAACATACCATGATCTGAGGATCATGGTTCAAAGCCAGCTTGGGCAGGAAAAGTCCTAAGACTTTTATCTCCAATTAACTATCCAAAAAAAGCTGGAAGTGGGATTGTCATTCAAGTGGTATAGTGCTAGCCTGAGCACAAAAACTCAGGGACAATGCCCAGGACCCTAATTCAAGTCTAGGACCAGCATGTATGCGTGTGTGTGTGAGCGAGCACACACACACACACACACACACACACACACACGCACTCACGTACATGCACACACACATTCCCACGAAGCTTAAAATAACCCTCAACAACCAAGAATTATTCAGAAATGTTGAGGTTGAGAAACTTTGTTCTAGAGTGCTATATTTTTATACTTCAAACTCTATTCATCACACTGGATTTCTCTAAAATATAATTATTTTTGTAACAAAAATGAATTTCTTTTTTTCTTTTTTTTTTTTTGGTTCAGTCGTGGGGCCTGAACTGTGGGCCTGGGCACTATCCTTCAGCTCTTCAGTTCAAGTCTAGCTTTCTACCATTTGAGCCACAGTGCCACTTTTGGCTTTTTCTGCTTATGTGGTGCTGAGGAATCAAACCCAGTCCTCATGCATGCAAGGCAAGCACTCTACCACTAAGCCACCTTCCCAGCCCCCCAAAAATGAATTTCATCCACAACAAATACCTATGTTGAAAAACAATGGCTTTCAGATTGAATTGTAATTATTATTAACCTACATTAACCTAAGGAACACTGATTAACACAATCAAATTTAAAATGTCCCTAATGAAATGGATGGGTTTTATATTTAGTTTTAAATACGGCTAAATAGGGCTGGGATGTAGCTCAGTGCCAAAGCGCTTGCCTAGCAAGTGCAATGTCCTGGGTTCGATCCCCAGTACCAAAAAAAAAAAAGAAAGAAAAGAAAAGATAAATACAGCTAAATATTACTTAGGTTTAGAATAACAAAGTATTAAGTGCAACTCTATTTCTATTTTCATTTTTAAGACCCTTTATCACGTAAGTAAGCCAATAGAAAAGGAGTTCTATTGGAATAATTAACTCATTATCTCAATTCTGTAACCTTTTTCTAAGTTACACAGTGATTTAAAGTTTTAAATATTTTAGTAATATATCAGCTAATTAAGTTCTTTTTAACACCGTAAAAGCGAGAAATTTTAAACTGACTTGCAAAGACTTTATTATGTGTTGATTCAAAGTATTTATTTTATAGTTATTTGGCAGCCCAGAAGTTTTAAAATCTGTTTTATAAGGGAGTCCAATTTAGGCTTGCACTCTGTGAGGAATCTCTGGGAACTTCTCTAATTTCATTTACAGGGTTTGGGAAGCCTTATTTATTTATAATCTAACAATATGTCTGTTAACTAACCTAACCTAATCATTTCCATCATGAAAGTTCAAGTATAGATACCATCATTTGGTATACCAATACCTAACAGCCAAAGTCTTAGAAACTAAATCATGTATTCTGCGGAAATTAAGATTCTCAAGAAAGACAATGATTCAAATATGACTAAAGTTCTCTCCATTGCTCCCTTACCTCTTAGACACTCTGTACTGTGCTGTGGTCAATTTTCCAGTCTCAGGGTCATGTACTGTAGCTCGGCTCAGCTACAAAATAAAAAAAAAAAAAGAGAAAGGACGAGGACTTAAAATCCAGCAGCAGGCAATTCTGGGCTTTTGTTCATTTTGTTTTGCCAAGCCACAGGTGATTGGAAGGATTCAGATCAGTCCTGGTGATAGGTAATGTTTCCAAATCAGTAAAAACATTTAGAAACGTGGCAGTAAGAACAACCACTTCTAAATAAGAGAAAAATGGTAAGAGATTTTTGTTGTAGATTTATTGTCCTTTCACTTTTTTTAAAAAATCATTTGATGCTATATGTAAATGATTGATAGCGCCGAGTTTCACAGGAATTTTTCCAGATCTAAAAGTTTAATGTTCTTCAAATATTTTAAAAATAAAAATTTGTCTCTTTAAGCTCATTTCTTAAAAACTCTCAGCAAGACAAAACTTTTTCAATCTTGCCAAGTAAAAGGCAGCTGAGTTCACAAGTAGTTTGTGGACTGAGTTTGGAATGTTAACTCTGTCCTTTCCATAGCCAACTTTGAGTCACCAGGTTTCCAAAAATAAGCTCCAAGAGGAAGAATACAAATTACTCCATAATGACAATGATATTGTAAGCTAAGAACAAATGTTAATCACCATGAAGGAATCTGTGCATTGGTGAATGTGAGAGAACTGCATGAGCAAAGACTTCTGAGCAGTTTATTTCCCATTTTAGCAACAAAGGGGAAAAAGAAAACAAGTATCAAGCAATTTCCTGGATATGTGATACATGATCTTTAGAAAAATAAAAACATATTAATTTCTTAAATGTAACAGACCACTAACTATAGTTAAAAAAATATAACTTCTAGTTCAAGAAAAAAAAACCTGTGAAACACAAAGCAGTCCTTGTGTTGTCTTATTTATGTATGAGGCGGCCACTTGGGTTGGAGACTGAAAATGACCTAGTTCCCTTAAATGATTCCTGTAGGATGCACAAAACATTCATTAGAGAGCAAAAATATGCAGCATACACATCTCTTACCTTTTGCTAATTCTGTAATGTACCGTCTCCAAGTCTCCTGTTATTGGGTTTGAAATGGTGGCTCGCCTCAGCTGTGAAGCCAACCATCAGAATAGTTGCATTACAAGACAAAAAAATGAATCACATTTATCTAACCAGTTAGAATGCTGGGTTTCTTTTCTTTCAACAAAGAAGTATAAATAGAGAAAATAGAACCATATACTTCCAGTCACCTTGTGTTGGACTTTGAAAGCCTATTGTTTTTAGACATTTGTGTTGTGTTTAAAAAAATTATTTTACTTGTTTTTATGTTGCGTGAATAGTGGATACACCAACAGAAAGTCTGGAAATTAAATTTCTTCAGTGGTTAGAGGCTATGACAGTGGAGAAAAGAGAAATTTCTAAAATTTGAAGCATAATTTGTTAGAAGAACAGCTATTTCTAATGAATGATCTATTCCAAAACCTCCAATTTTAATTCTTCATGGTAGAACTGTTTGTTTCCAAGGACTAATACTGTTCAAAATTTGTTTTATGGTGAGTCTTTTGTCCCTTCAACATATCCACTCAATATATACAGTGAAAAAAATGTGAGCAAAAAGGCAAATGTAAAGAACTTATGAATTTTAAAGACAATAGGAAAGAGATGACAAGCAAGGCAATTACTTTAGACTATTAAAAAATGGGAGAGGAAGTGGCGCTGTAGCTCAAGTGGTAGAGCGCTTGCCTTGAGCTGAAGAGCTGAGGGACAGCGCCCAGGCCCAGAGTTCAAGCCCCACAGCCGACAAAAAAAAAAAAAAAAAAAAGCACGAATAAAATGGGAGAATAGTCGGGCGCTGGTGGCTCATGCCTATAATCCTAGTTACTCAGGAGGCTGAGATCTGAGGATCACGGTTCAAAACCAGCCTAGGCAGGAAAGTCCATGAGACTCTTATCTCCAATAAACTACCAGAAAACCAGAAGTGGTGCTGTGGCTCAAGTGGTAGAGCGCTAGCCTTGAGCCAAAGAGCTGAGGGACAGCGCCCAGGCCCAGGCCCAGGCCCAGAGTTCAAGCCCCACGCCCGATGGGGGGGGGGGGGGGGGGAGGGAGGGAGGGAGGGAGAGAAAGAAGGAGGGAGGGAGGGATGGAGGGAGAATAAGCCAGGTGCCAGTGGCTTATGCCTATAATCCTAGCTACTCAGGATGCTGAGATCTAAGGATCTCAGTTTGAAGACAACCCAGCAAAGAAAGTTCAAGGGATGGGCTGGGAAGGTGGCTCAGTGGTAGAGCACTTGCCTTGCATGCCTGAGGTCCTGGGTTCAATTCCCCAGCACCACATAAGAAAAAAGCCAGAAGTGGCGCTATGGCTCAAGTGGTAGAGTGCTAGTCTTGAGCTGAAGAGCTGAGGGACAACGCCCAGGCCCAGAGTTCAGGCACCACCACCGGACCCCCCCCCAAAAAAAGAAAGTTCGAGGGACTCTTCTCCAACAAACTACTCAGAAAAAGTCTGAAGTGACACTGTGGTACAAGTGGTAGAGCACTAACCTTGAAGACAAAGAGGCTCGGGGCCAGCGCCCAGGCCCTGAGTTCAAGCAAGCCCCAACACCAGCTTAAAAAAAAATCCAAACCAGTTTGAAGACTAAGGCCCCCAATCTGAAACACAAACTGTCTTTTGGTTTTTGTTTGGTCAGTGCAAAGAACAAACATAGCTTCCAATATCACAAATAATACAGTTGAGTTTCCCATTTTTCACATTTGGGGAAATCCCAGGGATTGGCACATTTAAAGTGCAATAAATAAGCCTTACTTTGAGAAAACTACCTTCTTGATTATAAGACATGATATTTTTAATGAATATTTAACCAACACAGTGGCAAATTGTGTCTACTGGTTAAAAAGACTAAAATAGAAATTTAAAACAAAGTAAGAGTATAAATATTAAGTAGCATTCTGCTTGGCAGTGTTATAAGGATTACTTTAGCACCAATATGAATTAGACCAGTCTTTTGTTTTTTACAATGGAATATTTTTCTTCTTAAATTTTTTTTTTCCTTTCTTTTTAAAAAATGTTGGTCATGGGGCTTGAATTCAGACTGGATACTGGTCCCTGAGCTCTTTTGTTCAAGGCTAGTACTCTTATCACTTTGAACCTTAGCACCACTTCCAGTTTTCTGGTGGTTAATTGGAGATATGGGTGTACAGATTTTCCTGCCCTGGCTGGCTTCAAACCACAATCCATAGATCTTAGCCCCTGAGTAGCTAGGACTACAGGAGAAGCCACCAGTGCCTGGCTTTTCTATTTTCTTTTTATGCCAGTCTTGGGGCTTAAATTCAAGGCTTAGGCACTATCCCTGAGCTTTTGTCTTCAAGGATAGCATTCTACACTTGAGACATAATTCTACTTCTGCCTTTTTGCTTGTAAGCTGAAGGTAAAGAGTCTCACAGGTTTTCCTGCTCTGGGCTGAATTCAAACAGTGACCTTCAAATCTGTTTCCTGAGTAGCTAGGATTACGGGCGTGAGCCACCAGCACTTAGCTGGAATACTTCTGTAATAATAATTTCTAAAACCCCAAAATTACTAATTTGGAAAATAAAAGTTCTAAGTTTAAATGAGATATTCAGATATTTCAATTTTATAGTTTTAACAAGAATTAGCAAACCCACTGTGCCAAATTCAGCTGCCACCTATTTTTAGAATTAAAATTTCATTGGAATATAGCCATACTATTTATTTACAAATTTTCTTTGGCTGCTTTTACACTATAATGACAGAGCTGAGTAGTTGTAGCAGAGACCATTTATTTGATCTACAAAGCCTAAAAAATATTTACTACCTTGAACCCTGTATAATAAAAAAGCAAAAGTATGCCTAGTGATAGTTTTTTACTACCAGTAAGATGAAATATTTAAGAGCAAGATCATGGGAAAAGGCAAGAACATAGTCTCCTACATTCTCACACGTAATATTAGTTTTAATGCACATTACACGATTTTTCTTACTAAGATAATATAGATTGAAATCTGAATTTTTTTTTCCCCCAAGGCTGAGGACCGAACCCAGGGCCTTGCGCGTGCGCCGGGCAGGCACCATTCCGCTGGGCTAAACTCCAAGCTCCTGAAATCTGAATTTTTAAATGACATCAAATTTAAAAATTAGCATGATGCTTTTGTGCCCAATTATAAGTTCCTAATATTAATGTGCCTAAAAGGGAATGAAAATAATCCAAATGAGGGCTGGGAAGGAGGCTCAGTGGTAAGAGTACTTGCCTTGCATGCATAAGGCCCTGGGTTCGATTCTTCAGCACCACATAAGAAAAAAGAAAAAAGCCAGAAGTGGCGCTGTGGCTCAAGTGGTAGAGTGCTAGCCTTGAATTGAAGAGCTGAGGGACAGCGCCCAGGCCCAGAGTTCAGGCCCCACGACCAGAACCCTCCCCTCCAAAAAAAATAATAATCCAAATATTCCTTCAGATGAAAGTATTAAAAGACCTGAAAAAGTTGATCTCTGAGTGATAAAAACTACAAAATAATATAAAAGTAGGTTTTCCAGCCAGGTGCCAGTGGCTCATATCTATTAATCCTAGCTGGTCAGGAGACTGAGACCTAAGGATCATGGTTTGAAGGCAGTCTGGGCAGGAACATCCATGAGACTCTTATCTCCAATAAACTATCAAAACAAAAAGCCAAAAATGTGGCTCAAGTAGTAGAAGGCTAGCCTTGAGCAAAAAAAAAAAAAAAAACCCTCCCAAACAGTACCCAGCCCCTGAGTTCAAACCCCAGGACTGGCCCCAAAAATTATAGATATATTTTTTTCCAGTAAAAGAACAAAACACAAATTTGTTAACTGTAAATAAGAACTTCATTTACAACTTTCATTATCCAGTGTTTAAGGCCTAGTGTAAGATGTGTTACTTGTTTTGATAACAGAAATATTAGCATAAGAAGAGCCAATATAATGACTCAACAATTATGCTGAGAAAATAATATTTAAAATTATTGTTGGAGTTATCTCCATACCAATTGTCCTGTTATATTACAAAGGAGAAATTAAACCAGATATACAGTAAGTAGAGGAGAATTTTAAAAAAAATTTACCCTTGGTTTTGCTAGATCTTTGACAATTTCAATTTCTGCATCAGAAATAATATCATGGAAGCGAATAATTCGGGGCTTGTCCCACTCATCTTCCTGCTTGGCTGGAGCCAGAATAAATTTAGGATTTCTGTTTCCATCATGGTAACGGCAAAACAGTCTTTTTTGTCTTCGTGGAGTCTAAAGAGAATGACAAATCTATTAAGAGTAATTTTTAATAATTATTCCTGTGCAGATAAGAAAAAAATTATGCTTGCATATACAGAGTATTTCTGGAAGAATATACAAATGCGATAGTATATTATAAATATTTTGCATCAAACATGAATCTTAGAATAAAAGTGACTCAGCAGTAGTTCTCTCTAGGATGTGGGAGGCACTGGGTAAAACCACAGCACTGGAACAAAAAGGCTTCTTTTGGGTGGGAGAGATAGAACACCTGAAGTAAAAAGACAGGATTTCCCTCTTAACCTTTCCTGCATCAAACTAAAACTCAGTTGTAATTATCAAACAATGAAATGCTCCTTTCAATCATATATATGTACATACTGAAATACATCATTATGTAGCTGATTCTTTCTCTTATTTTTTTGGTGTGGTGTGGCTCAAGGTCTTGGTATATATAATCTAGGCTAGCCTGGAACTCATGACCTTCCTACCTCGGCTTTCTTAGTGTTGGGATTACAGGCATGCTAATGCATGTAATTTGATTCTTTTTTTACTTTGATTCTTTTGATTCTTCTAAGTAGATCAAATATGAAGAAGAAATTATTAGTTTTAATTATTAATGTAACAATAATTCATATTTACTACTCAGGCACTTTAGGGTCAAATATAAAGCTTTATGTCAATTAGGTCTTTTATATAACAAAATAAATTTAAACATCTGTAAAAAAACACGTTGCCCTGAGGAACCCTATTACACTGCTGGTGGGAATGTACACTTATACAACCACTTTGGAAAGCAGTCTGGAGGGTCCTTAGAAAGCTAAAGATTGACCTCCCTTACGACCCAGTCATACCACTTCTAGGCATCTACCCTGAACAACAGGAACCAATATACAAGGACACGTGCACCTCCATGTTTATTGCAGCACTGTTCGCAATAGCTAGGATATGGAAACAACCTAGGTGCCCCACCACAGATGAATGGATCCAAAAATTGTGGTATCTATACACAATGGAATATTATGCAGCCATTAGAAATGACAAAATAATGGCATTTGCAGGGAAATGGATGGAGCTAGAAGGAATCATGTTGAGCGAGGTAAGCCAAGAACGAAGAGACAAACGGTACATGGTCTCCCTCATAAGTGGATGCTAAATCCAAAAGGTTAGGTGATACGACAAAACTAACAGGACTTAAGAAACAAAGAACTCCCGCTCATCTGGTTGAACCACTACTAAATATCCTCATGCTGCTGATCACAAATATGGTATATAACATGTGAACACTGTTATATATTACAGACTGTGGTAGACAATTTGCTCCAGGGAAGTTAGAATGAACTTGTGACTTTGAAATTATGTAATCATTTAATCACAATCAAAAAAAAAAAAAAAAAAAAAAGAACCTCGGGGAAGGGAGGGAGGGAGGGGATGGTAGGGGGAAAACAATGGAGGGGGTAACAATGTTCAAGAGGAAGTGTACTCATAACCTCACTCATGTAACTGTAACCCTCTGTATAGTAGCTTTACAATAAAAAAAAAAAAAAAAAAAAAAACACGTTGCCCTTATTGTGGGCAGAGTTGACATGTAGGTGTCTCATTAACAAACTGGTAAATTATCAGGCTCCTGTTTTGTCCCTATAGTTCTACTTACTGATTTTTTAAAAAGATGTTAAGGGCAAAAAAAAAAAAAAAAATCTGCTTGTTGGGCACTGGTAGTTCATGCCTGTTACCCTAGCTACTCAGGAGGCTGAGATCTGAGGATCATGGTTCAAAACCAGCCTGGACAGTAAAGTCTGTGAGACTCTAATCTCCAATTAATCACCAAAAAAAGCCAGAAGTATAGCTGTGGCTCAAGGGTAGAATGCTAGCCTTGAGCATAAGAGCTCAGGGACAGTGCCCAGGCCCTGAGTTCAAGCTGAAGGATTGGTACAAGAAAAAAAAAAAAAAAAATCTTAGAAATCTGAATAGTCACCTGATGTTACCATGGAACTACTGTGAATTTTTTCAGGAGTCATATGGCTTTGTGTTTGAGTCCTTATTAAGAGATAAATACTATTATAGTTTGAATCTAAAATGTACTTCAAGACTTGGCTAATCAGCATGCAGTAGTTAGGAGGTGCAGAACCTCCAGGAGTTAAGCCTAGTTAAAGTCCACTGTGGGTATACCTTGAGGGAGATACAGATAACCCCATCTCTAAATCTCTCTGCTTCCTGGCCACCATGAGGTAAACCGGTCTGCTTTCTACATTCTTCCCCTCCTGATGTTAAGCCTTGCCACAAGTCCAAATGAGTAATGTGAACAAACCACTCACTAAAACCTATGAACCTAGGAACCAGAATATATCTTTATTCCTTTTGCTTATCTCAGGTGTTTTGTCACAGTAGTGAAGTTGACTAATATACATACTAAAATATTTGGAAATAAGAAAAAGAAATTAACAAAATATATTATTCTTACATGTACTCATTAGGTATCAAAGTAAGCATAGGGCTAGGAATGTGGCTTCGTGGCAGAGTGTTTGCCTAGCACGCGTCAACTCCTGGGTTCTATTGCTCAGTACCACATAAACAGAAAAAGCCGGAAGTGGTACTGTGGTTCAAGTGGTAGAGCACTAGCCTTGAGCACAAAGAGGCTCAAGGACAATACCCAAGGCCAAGTTTAAGCTCCAGAACCAGCCAAAAAAAAAAAAAGCATGAAGTCCATAAACCTGGTTATTGAAAGCACCAACAAAGATATAATATTCATATTTTGCTGTTATTGGTGAGGATGAAACACTCACCAATATCAAAAAAAGCCTAGCCTCTGCACACATATATATGCAGTTATGCATGTATGTTCAAGCTTTAGTTACTGGTAAAGAAAAAAAATAAACATTTCGCAAATATTTAGTCTAAAAATTCACTTTTTTTGGCAGTACTGACGTTGAATTCAGGACTTGGCTGCTGGTGCTCTACCACTTAAGGTGCCTTCAGCCCTATTTCGTATCACCTTTTTAAAAATTAGTTTTAAAAATGTTTTTTTGGGGTACCAGTAACTATGGCTTAAATTCTGAGCCTGGTAGTCTCTCTATACTTTCTTATTCAAAGCTGGTACTGTAACATTTTAGACACAATTCCAATCTAGTAGACCATTCTTCCCAGAATGGCTTTAAATCTTGATCCTCAGATTTCAGCTTCTTGAGAAGCTAGTATTTTAAACATCAGCCACCAGCAGCTTTTCACTGATTAGTTTGATATTACTGGGGTGTATGGTGTGTTTGTGTGTGCAGACCTGAGGTTTGAACTCAGGGGCAGGATGCTGTCCTTGAGCTTTTTTGCCCAAGGCTAGAACTCTTCCACTTTAGTCACCCACTTCCAGCTTTTTGATAGTTAACTGGAGAAGAGTCGCAGATTTTACTGGCTTGGCTGGCTTCGAACCAAAAATCTCAATCTTGCATTGGTTAGTTTTTAAGTAAAATCTTGTGTTATGTCTTGGCCATCCTGGGTTTTTGATCCTTCCACTTGTGCTTCCCTATGTCATTAGGATAATAGGCACATACCACTGAGCCCAGTAGTTTGTGAACTATTTTGCTGGGACTATGATCTCTGCTTTCAAAGTAGGTAGGATAATAGGCTTGAGCCACCAACCTGGGCCCTTATTCAACTGAACACCAGTACCAAATGATACTGCCTATGATCAAATTCCTGTTGGCAGAACAACATATATCATAATGTACATTGTTATTAAAAAGCTCTGAGAAGTCTTGAAAAACACACTTGTTCAATTTTAACAAATATAGTTTTTCTTGTTTAGGCCTATTTATCTACTGATGTCTGAAGAGCTTGCAAAACAAATGGAGCATGTTAAGTGTGACATCCACAATAAGGTGATAGGGACTATTACAGTATATACAACCACTCTGATTTTCACATAGACTTAAATATAGAAGAACTGTCAGTCTCTCTAGAACTAGGTACAAACACATAATATACACACACTCACACACACACACAATTGACTTTCCACTTTACCATTTTGATACCCTCCCCACGGCACAGCATTTCGTACTTCTGTCTTTCTGGTAGATAATCCACAGCAATCCCTTTTTTCTTTGGTGTGGTTTTCTGATCAAACTGACCATCTGAAGTAGATTTATTGGTGTCTTTTTCTTTAGCCATTATATATTCAAAATATTTTAAGTTACCATTAGCTCTCTGATGTTCAGGATCTAGTACAAGAGAAATAAAGCATATTCATGTAGGTAACTTTAGAGTCAAGCATAACAATACAGTAATATATGAGACCATTCTTTTATTTTGTAAATCAAGATGCTTTTGAGAGTGAAAGAAAGCACTATAAACAGTATACCCCAACAATAAATATAAACTAGTACTGTGTCAAGCAAACCACTACATATAGTCATTCTATATGAAAAGCAACTGTAGAGAGAAACAGCCTTTTATTTCAAGGCAACAATTATTGCTTCTCTTTGAGAACTTACTAATTAGCCAAAGAAACTAGGCTCAATTTGATGTCAAATACGTCTTAAAATCCTACTCATCCTATTTATTGCAAAAGATTTTGAGTCTGAAAGGCAATCATAAGTAATCACAACATACAGAGTTCAAAAACATTTATCACCGATACATTATAAATACAGAACACAGCTTACATGTGAGGCTGAGTTGATTTCAGCCCCAAATTTCTAAGTAAGAAGGAAAAAAATAAACTAAAGCTGTAATTTTCAAATAAGCCAAAATCCACTAACTGCCTCAGAATTGCTAGTGATAATTTTTAGCTACCTTTTAGTAAAGGAAGAGAACTACACCACCCATCCGGACAAGAAAATAATCCAAACCACCACATAGAGAGATAAAAATAAAAACTGCAGACCAGTAAAGCATTTAAGAAATCTAGACCTAGAGTAAAAGCATGTCTTATCCTTTAGAAACTTGCCATACATCACAAAAGCCTACTTTGTACAAGGGAAAAGTGTGCATGTGTAGGGAGGGAAATATATACTACATTGACACAAAAGGGTATTTTTGAGTGATTCGTTTATGGGTGACTCTTATGTATCCTTTTCTGTATTAATAGAGTTTTATAATAAATATAAAACATGTTATAAATTAGACGGAAAATTCATTAGAAAATACTGAAAGCAAAAAGGCCATTTGAACTAATATCTTCATTTGTTCACCTAAGAAATAAACCAATTATCAAAATTTTACTTTTGCCAAGTGCCAGTGGCTCATGCCTATAATACTATTCAGAAGGCTGAGATCTAAGGATTATAGCTCAAAGCCAGCCAGGGCAGGAAAGTCCATGAGACTCCCATCTGCAATAAACTACTCAGAAAAAGCTGGAAATGGCGCTGTGCCTCAAGTGATAACCTTGAGCAAAAGAAGCTCAGGGACAGCAGCGAGGCCCAGAGTTCAAACCCCAGGACCAGCTAAAACAAACAAAAAAAAACCCTTCACATTTAGATGAACAATACTTTTCAACTGACTTTTCTAACTCATACATACTTCCTATCCATAAAAAAAGGTTTATAATACACAAAAGGCTACCTAAATTTATTATTGTATAAACGCTATGATTCAATTTCCAAAGATTATTATTTAATAGGTTGAATAGAAATCAAAGGACTTTCATTTCTACCAAATACCAGGTAACTATGATGCACATGATCCTTGAATAATACTCAGAAAAATACTCCATCTCTTTTCAAAGCACTAGTGGTCAGATTTCTAATAAAATCACATTTTTGAAAATTTTGAATATTAAATGCAATAAACCAGTAATGTATTTCAAAGGAAACTGGTTAGCATTTAACAGGGTAGTAGGATAAGTGAATATTTTTGACTAGTTAGAATACATCCAATTTTTAATTTCCTGGAGAACAGAGTAGAAGAATGCAGTCAACATTACAGAACTATTAGGGGAGAAAAATCAGTAGCCATTTTCTTTAAGAATAAACAGTGAGAGAATAAAGTATGTCCAATAGATAAGGTTCTTGACTTCTAACAAATTTGTAAAGGCATATGGATGAACACACAAATAATTCATATCCTCTATATAATTATAACCTAAATTAGGCCCAAATAACATACCTAATTCAAGAAGCTTCTTCGTGAGCAAAAGTGCCTTATCCAGGTCTCCCTGTTGGTACACAGCATAGCTCAAATAATCTAGAACAGAGACTTTATCCACGGTAGAAACCTCGCCTTCATCCAGCTGCCTCAGTGCTTGTTCCATCCACAGTTCTGTATGGTAATAATCTGCTTCTGTGTAGGCCACTTTGCCCAACTCAAAGCAGTCTTCAGCTGTTAGAAAAGATTTGTGTTTTACTCCTGGGAAAAGAAAATAAAGAGAACTTTGGGAATTTTCATAGTACTCTGTACTTAAAAGTTTTATTTCACTTTCATTTGAACTTTACAAAAATGCTGAGGTAGGAAAAATAAAATTATCCTGTTTTTATGGACAAAGGAAAAATGTAAAAAGTAATGTAGCCTATGTGGCACATAAGAATCCAAGACATAGTAGCCATCAATCTAAAACAAAAAGCAATTAAATTGAAATATGCTATTCTCTTTTTTTTTTTTTTTTTGATGGAAAAACAATTTACTTCAAAATTAATTTAGGAATAGAAAACATCTTGGAAGGGGGATAAAACCAGAAAAAACACCAAGAATTCAGATGAATGTTTACTTCGCGAGCTTCTCCCTCACTCACTAATCCCCATGATGAAACTGTCTCCAAAGTGGATTCAGCCACCCACAATGATGTTATTAATAGGGATATGGATCAATTTTACAAAGAAGCCAATGAAGCCCATTATTGCAAATCCTATTGCTGTTGCCATGGCAATCTTCTGGAATTCTTTTCTATCGGGTTTGGTGCATCTTTTAACCAGCCGAATTGAATCCTTTACAAACTGCCGACTTGGCTCAACAAACTGCATTACCTGATCCATGATTACCGGGCGGCCACTCCTCACGCCAGCGACACGTTGAAATATGCTATTCTCTAACATAGCAGAAATCACCATATGAAATGTTATTCCTGACCAACAAATGGATGTATACAAAGAAAGGCAAACCTGTTGACTGCTTTTTTTTAATGGCATTATGATACATAATTTAAATGCCATTGAGTTCATTAAAAAAATTACAATAATTCTTAGTATATTCATAGTTATGTAACAATTATCACAATATAATTTTACAACATTTTTATTACCCTAAAACAATCCCAGGAACTGGAGGTATAGCTCAATTGGTAGAGTGTCAGCCTTGAGCCAGAAAGCTAAACAAAAGTGCTAGGCCTTAAGTTCAAGCCCCAGTAATACTGGTACACCACACACACACACACACACACACACACACACACACACACACACACACACACACACACACACACACACACACACACACACACACACACACACACACACACACACACACACACACACACACACACACACACTGTCACTAACAATTACTATCCATCAGCTCCCCAACCCAATGCCAATCCTAGACAAACCACTTTCTATCTCTACTGATTTACCTACTTTGAACATTTCATATAAATGGAGCAATACAATATGTCATTTTTGTATTTGTACACTTTTACTCAGTATTTCAAGGCTCATCCATGTTGTAGCATCCTTTCATTGCCAAATAATGCACTGTATAGGCAGACTATATTTTATCAGTTTATGGACATTTGGGTTGCTACATATGTTGAGAATATATGTAGCAGTGAAACTGCTGGGTCACATAGCAACTCTGCTTAATACTTTGAAAAATTGCTATTTTCCAAGGTGATTATACCATTTTTCATTTCTACCAACTGTGATAAAACTGCAGCTTGTCTACAACCTTGCAGATACTTAATACTACCTTTTTTTTTTTTTTGTCGGCTGTGGGATTTGAACTCTGGGCCTCTTCAGCTCAAGGCGAACACTCTACCACTTGAGCTACAGAGCCACTTCCAGTTTTCTAGTAGTTTGTTGGAGATAGGAGTCTCACGGTCTTTCCTGCCCAGGCTGGCTTTGAACTGCGATCTTCAGATTGCAGCCTCCTAAGTAGCTAGGATTATAGGTGTGAGCCACCGGTGCCCGGCTACATTCTTTTTTATTAAGACATTGTGGTGGGTATGAAGTGGTATTTCATCATGTTTTTTTTATTTCCCTAATGACAAGTAACATTGAGTATCTTTTTGTGTACATCCACCATTTGTGTATCTTCTTTGGAAAAAATAGTCAAATCTTTGCTATTAATAAAATGCAGTTGAGGCAGGGTGCTGGTGACTCACACCTTTAATCCTAGCTGAGGCTGAGATCTGAGGATCACAGTGCAAAGCCAGTCCGGGCAGGAATATCCCGGAGACTCTTACCTCTAACTACCAAAAAACCACAAGTGGAGCTATGACTCAAAGTGGAAGAGTGCTAGCCTTGAGCACTCAGTGATAGTTCCCAGGACCCAAGTTCAAGCCCCATGGCTGAAAAAAAATGCAGTTGTTTTTTATTATTGCTTTGAATTTTTATGCATTCTGGATAAAATTTCTTTATCACTTATCAATTAAAAATCAATTATTTTTCCCATTTTATGATCTGTTTTTGCACCTTTTTTTCCTGGTGACACTGGGGCTTAACCTCAGGGCCTCAATAGCAAAGAAGTTTCCTTGTTATCAATGAATAATACAATCATCACAAAGACAAATGAAATAATGAGCTGATATGAAGAAGTTCTCACTATCTAAAATTGGGATAATCTGAACATTAAAATAAATAATGAGGTTTAGGTGCCAGTGGCTCACACCTATAATCCCAATTATTCAGGAGGATGAAATCTGAGGACTGCAATTCGAAGCCTGGCTTTTGAAAGTCCATGGGACTCTTTATCTCAAACTACCAGAAAGCCAAAAGGGGAGCTGTGGTTCAAGTGGTAGAGCACTAACCTTGAACAACAACAACAACAAAAAAAAAGGAGCTCGGAGATAGCACCCAAACCATGGGGTCAAGCCCCAGTTCTGGCACCAAAAAAAAAAAAAAAGAATAAGCTGAAATACAAAATACTGTATATGAAAATCCATGAATTCATGATACTTTAGATAAGGTCACTGATCATCTCTACAGAAAGCTATCAGATGGGTGGCTCACGCTTGTAATCCTAGCTACTCAGGAGGCTGAGATCTGAGGATCGTGGTTCAAAGTCAGCCCAGGTAGGAAAGTCTGTGCAAGAAAGTCTGTGAGACTCTCATCTCTAATAAACCACTCAGAAAAACGGAAGTGGCACTGTGGCTCAAGTGGCAGAGTGCTAGCCTTGAGCTAAAGAGACAATACCCAGGCCCAGAGTTCAAGCCCCATGACTGACCAAAAAAAAGAAGTTATTAGGGCATCAATTCATTACTCTGAAAATTGATAATCAAGGATTAAGCTTGTCTTTCCTGTATAAACTCTAGTTCAGAAACTATAGTTCAGTGTAACCAACTGGTTCCTGAAAGAATTGATTATAAAACTCCAAATAACCAAACTAGAATGAGATGACCAAAAGAAAAAAGAAAAAAATTAGTTCTAGGCAATGATCTGCAAAGGTTGCACAAACTGATAAAACTCGGGGAGCTCTTTATAAGCAGGCTCTCAGCCCCTAAACCCGTTCATAATCCATCCTCATCACAAAAAATGTAATGGGACTCAAGACCTGGATTCATGCAATTCAATTCAAAGTTCATTAGCGCCACCTATGGAGCTAATTTTAAAAACAACTTGAATCTAACAACCTCAAAGTCTAACCAATTTGTAAGAAACACAGAAGTTAGAACAATTTTAAATACTGCCAAAGAAATCTACAGAATGTGAATATATTACACTGAACTAACAACCAGGTTTCCCAAGTGACCACTGTGGTTGTGGGGGGAGGGGGGAGGTGGTAGAAGAATAAGTGGAAGAAGGAAGGAGGAAAAGGAAGAAGAGGAAAGATAAGGAGGAAAGAGGAAGGTTAAGGAGGAAGGAGGAAGAAAGAGGAAGGAAGAAGGAAGGAGGAGGTGGCAGAGAAAAGATGGAGACAAAATGAAGGGAAAAGGAGGAAGAGGAAGGAAGGAAGGAAGGAAGGAAGGAAGGAAGGAAGGATGATGGAGGAGCAGACAATGGAAGGAATAAAGGAGATTCAACAGACAACTAAAAATCCAATTGTAAATAACATCTTTTGAGTGGCTCACACCTGTAGTGCTATCTACCCAGGATGCTAAGATCTGAGGATCACAATTTGAGGACAACTTGGGCAGTCAAATCTGAAATACTTTTGTTTCTAATTAACCAGCAAAAACTTGGAAGTGGAGGTGTGGTTCAAGTGGTAAAGCCACAAACCTTAGTGAAAAAGCTAAGCAAGTGCTGAAGGTCCTGAGCTCAAGACCCAATACTGGCACAAAGATATTTGATGCTCAGTGATCCTATTATTATTTTCATTTGTGTGTGTGTATATGTGTGTGTGTGTGCGTGCGCGTGTGCGTGTGTGATGCTTGACATTTTCCAGAATAAGATTTGAAAAAAAACAACAAAAAGGAGAAAAGGAGCATTTTTTGTACTCAAAGGCTATGAAACAGCCTGTATTCCTAGCTACTCAGGAGGCTGAGATCTGAAGATCGAGGTTCAAAGCCAGCCTGGACAAAAAAGTCTGTGAAATAATTTTAATCTCCAATTACCACCAGAAAACCAGAAGACTATGGCTCAAAGTAGTGGAGTGCTAACCTTGAACAAAAGAGCTCAGGGACAGTGCCCAGGCCCTGAATTCAGGTTCCATAATCAAAAAGAAAAAAAGGCTATCAACCAAATTATACTTTAAAATTTTAAAGATACTTTACTACTAACATTTCCTAGTGGACTGAATAGATTGGCTAGGCAACAGGCACCTTGATATACTGCAAGAACGATCTTACCTGGAAGATTACCCTTTGAGATAGTATCTGTATCCAGATTGTAGGTGTCCTGGAGACGCAGTAATGCTTTGGCTGCCCCAACCTGGTCTTCATCATTAGGGAAGTACTGTCTCTGAATGGTTAGGTTAGAGATAAAGCCTTGAAATAGAAAAACAGAAAAAAGTGAGAGGGCAACTAGAACCTTGTAAGCGTCTTTATGAGGATTTGCAGTGTCTTTATGAGAATTTTCCAAGATCTATTATCATTTTTTACCATATCATTAAAATTCAAGAACAAGGAAATACACTGAATGTGATATACGCTTGTTCAATTTCTAATATTAAGTCACTCAAAATGCTATCTATGTAGGAAAAGATCAACTAACAGTTTTTACATAATACAGCAAGAAAAAAAGTCCTTCCACTAAGCTTGAGAAATGAGCATGCATTTGAAAATTCATGCATTTGAAAATTACATTCATCTTCCAACCAATTATACTTTCAGATGTAACTGTGCTCTTAGTTGCTATCTCTTTCCACATTATGTTTTATATTTATATATTATATATACATTTTATAAAAATTAAAATATATACATTTTGGAAGAATTTGAGGGGAAAAGGATGTCTAAATAGGTATTTAGGATCAATGGCTAAACTGGTTTATACTAATGTATATTTATATATGTCTAACCATCAAACAGTTTTTGTCAATCAAGACCTATCAAATATAAAACCTAATAGAGGATGAGGGTATGGCTCAAGTGGTACAGCTCCTGTTTGTCTACCAAGCACAATGGCATGAGTTCAATCCCCAGTAACACTTAAGAAACAAAACAAAACAACTAACCATGTGCTAGTAGCTCACATTTGTAATCCTAGATACTCAAGAGGCTGAGATCCAAAGGACTGCAGTTTAAAGCCTATCTGGCCAGAAAAGTCCACAAGACTCCCTCCCCTCTCCAATAAGCCAGCAAAAAGCAGGCCTAAGCTAGGAGCTGGTGGCTCAGGCCTGTAACCCTACATACTCAGGAGGCTGACAAAGGAGGATGATCACAGTTCAAAGCCAGTCCATACAGAAAAGTCCATGATACAGTTACCTTTAGCTGACCACCAAAAAACTGGAAGTGAAGATATGGCTCAAGTGACAGAGCTTCAGCCTTGAGTAGAAAAAGCCAAAGGACAGCCTAAACCCTGAGTTCAAGCCCCAGTACTGGCACATGCACACATACATACACAGCAGGCCTGAAGTCATGGTTCAAGTGGTAGAGTGCCAGATATAAGCAAGCAAGCAAAGGCCCTAAGTTCAAGCCCCACAACGGGCAGGCATTGAGGGAAGTGGTGGAAGAAGGAAGATACTAGCAGAAATAAATTGTGATGATGAATATCTGGAATCAATCACTTGGAGGCTGACAAAGAATTTTTACAAATTCAGGGCCAATTCCAGGCTGCTCTAGAATTGAAAAAGAAAAAAAAAACCTAAGCTAAAGGAGGATTTATATAAAATATAGAAGAAAAATAAACCAATTATTTGATAGCCTTTAAAAAAACATAGATGTTAAATACTCCTAAAGAAGTAATGACAAAGAGATTTAATACTTTAATAATGCACATGCCATTATTGTTAAAAAGATATGAGATAAGGAGCTGGGAAGGTGGCTCAGTGGTAGAGCGCTTGCCTTGCATGCCTGAGGCCCTGGGTTCGATTCCTCAGCACCACATAAGCAAAATGAAAAAAAGCCGGAAGTGGCATTGTGGCTCCAGTGGTAGAGCGCTAGCCTTGAGCTGAAGAGCTGAGGGACAGCGCCCAGGCCCAGAGTTCAGGCCCCATGACTGGACGCCCTCCCCCCCCCCCCAAAAAAGATATGAGATGAAATCCCTTTCCTTTCACTAACTTATAATCAGTAAATACTTTTATCAGCAAAATATTTAAGCTTTTTTTTTTTTTTGGGTCCGGTTGTGAGGCCTGAACTCTGGGCCTGGGCGCTGTCCCTCAGCTCTTCAGCTCAAGGCTAGTGCTCTACCACTTGAGCCACAGCACCACTTCCGGCTTTTTGCTTATGTGGTGCTGAGGAATCGAACCCAGGGCCTCATGCATGCAAGGCAAGCACTCTACCACTGGGCCACCTTCCCAGCCCCAGCATTTTTATTATAATGGAAATGTACTAATAAAACAGCTATCTGAAATTCATACCAAGTATATTTTTAAGTTTTAAGAGCAGCTCTTAATAACAATTTCCACAAGCAAATTTTACAAAAGACTAATGCTTCTTATGCCTCAAAACAAAATCTAAGACAATGCTTAAGTCCTCTCTAAGAGGACAAAAAGTGTATTATTTTATAATGGGATGACTACCACAGATTAAATCCTCAAAGTTCACATCATAAAAGAACTACATAAATTGTTTCTAACATATTTATAAGATTATGTCTTTGTTGCTTTGTATGTCCCTCCCCCATGGTATAACCTCTCCCTTCACTGTATTTGATATTGGCATATGTGGAGGGGAAGGGAAAAAACAAATCGTTAAAACAGGGATACAGGAGGACCCATTGCAACAATGAGATGTACAAGTCGTTATGTAGAAAAACGAACTTTACAACTTTGGTGTGGGACACAGGGGGGGGGGGGGGGGGGGTGTGTGCAAAGGGATGGGAAGGGGAAACAAAGGAGCAAAGGAGTAGGCTACAGTGCTTGATAAGAAATGTACTCATTGCCGGGCGCTGGTGGCTCACGCCTGTAATCCTAGCTACTCAGGAGGCTGAGATCTGAGGATCACGGTTCAAAGCTAGCCCCAGCAGGAAAGACCGTGAGACTCCTATCTCCAATAAACCACCAGAAAACCGGAAGTGGCGCTGTAGCTCAAGTGGTAGAGTGCTCGCCTTGAGCTGAAGAGCTGAAGGACAGCGCCCAGGCCCAGAGTTCAAGCCCCATGACCGACAAAAAAAAAAAAAAAAAAGAAATGTACTCATTATCTTGTCCATGTAATTGTAACCCCTCTGTACAGTATTTTCACAATAAAAAAAAAAAAAGAACTACGTAAGCTGGGCACCCATGGCTCACACCTGTAATCCTAGCCTCAGGAGGCTGAGATCTGAGGATCGTGGTTCAAAGCCAGCCCAGGCAAGAAAGTCCATGAGACTCCTATCTCCAATTAACCACCTGAAAACTGGAAGTGGCACTGTGGCTCATGTGGCAGATGGCTTACTGGAGCTGAAGAGCTCAGGGACGGCGCCCAGGCCCAGAGTTCAAGTCTCACGACTGAAAAAAAACAAAAAAAAAGAACTATGTAGGTTATTACTTTTGAATAAATAAATGACTCAATGAACAGATGACTGCATGTGTAGAAGGAGTATGTACAGTGAAAAAGACATCAGACAGACATATGTGTATTTCCTTACAAATATTGCCAGGGTTCTTTGTTTTGTTTTGTTTTTTGCTAGTCGTGGGGCCAGAACTCTGGGCATAGGCATTGTCCCTCAGCTCTTCAGCTTAAGGCTAGTACCCTACCACTTGAGCCACAGCACCACTTCTGGCTTTTTTTTGCCTATGTGGTGCTGAGGAATTGAACCCAGGGCCTCATGCATGTGAGGCAAGCACTCTACCACTGAGCCACCTTCCCAGCTCCTTGCCAGGGTTTTATATACTACAGAAAATAATCACAGGTATTTAATCACAGCAATAAAGCATTCACAAGTACTTGCCATTACTTTTCTTTATATGGTCTCCTTTCCTATACATAATACAGTAGTGTCCCCCTTACCCACAAGGACACATTCGTAAACTCCTCAAATAGAATACACAGTAATAAACTACATATGTAACATGTGTGTATTTCTTATACATACACAAATTAATGTATTTTCTTTCTTTTCCTTTTTTTGCCAGTTCTCAGGCTTGAACTCAAGGTCTGGGTACTGTCCCTGAGCTTCTTTTGCTCAAGGCTAGTGCTCTACCACTTGAGCCACAGCACCACTTCCAGCTTTTCCTGTGTACGTTGGATTGAGGAATCGAACCCAGGGCTTCATACATGCTAGGCAAGTACTCTACCACTAAGCCATATTCCCACCCCCTGTATTTTCTTTCTTAACACTATGCACTGTAGAATTCTATCTTTTGTAACTAAAACTAGAATGAATTTCTTATTTTTCACAATTTCAGGTCTAGAAAATTCATTCTTACTACTCTTAGCATATCACTTATTTTTCATTTCTTAATAAACTAAGAACTTTCACCTTTTACTTAAACACTTTTTGGCCATTTGTGTTCAAGTTGAACACAATGCACTATGACAATGCAACAATGATCTGATAACAGAGGTTACTAAGTGACAAGTAGCAGATAGTATATGGATATTCTGGACAAAGGAATGATGCCCATCCCAGGCAAGACAGAGCAGACAGCAAGAGATTTCATCACACTACTTAAGACATAGAATTGGATTGGAGATATGGCTCAAGTGACACAGTGCCAGCTAGGAGCAAAAAAGCTATGTGAGAGTTCAGGAGACCTTGAGTTTAAGCCTTGGTACCAGTATAAGAGGAAAGGAAAAAGGAAAGGTAAAAAGGCACAGAGTTATTGTAATAAACTGGAATTTTCCATTTAATATTTTTAGACTGTAGTTAATCAAAACTGCAGAATGAAAAACGATACAGATGGGGAAATTACAATAGTTTATTTCACAGCTAATAAACACCGGTAAACACTCATGGGAGTTTTTTCTTTTTTGTCGGTCCTGGGGCTTGAACTCTGGGCCTGAGCGCTGTCCCTCAGCTCTTTAGTTCAAGGCTAGCACTCTACCACTTGAGCTATAGCGCCATTTCGGTTTTCTGGTGGTTTATTGGAGGTAAGAGTTTCACGGACTTTCCTGCCTGAGCTGGCTTTGAACCTCGATCCCCAGATCTCAGCCTCCTGAGTAGCTAGGATTACATACATGAGCCAACAGTACCTGGCTTCATGGGACTATTTAATCTGTAGCTAGCTCAGCTTTCTCCTTTCTTTGGGGTTGGGGAATAAGGAAATAGAATGAAGATGCCTTTATTATTTAAAAAATATTTAAGCTTCTACTCTGTACTAATCCCTTTACTTCTTTAAATTCCAGACTATTTTCTGTGTCTGTTGGTAAAATATCTATACACCTCAATATTTATTCCAACTACAATTATGTTATTTCACTTAGACTTGTCCATTATTGATGTCCATAGCCTCAGATTTTTAATTTATGGCCTATATTAAATAAAATAATCTTAAACTCAAAATACTAGATAGTATTATAGGCTAATACCTATAATACTCAGCAGGCTGAGGTCTAAGGATCACAGCCAGTCAAGGCAAGAAAGTCTGAGACTCTAAAAAGCCACAAGTAGTGAATACGTGGCTCAAACTGTAGAGCACAAACACTGATTGAAAAAACTAAAAGACAGCATCTAAGCCCTGAGTTAAAGCCGGAGTACTATAGCATACACACACACATACACATACACACATATACACACAAAACAGTAGGTAGAATATTTACTTTATTAATAGTACTATTAATATTATAAAAACTAAAAACTCACACATAGTTTTTACATACTAAAAGTAATCTAAAATAAAAATCATTTCACCCTAAGAAACTATATGCTGAGTATCTTTTCACTTCTTTACACTTGAAAAAAAATATATCACCAGGGCTAGTCACCAGTACTGGAAATTACTTTTTTTTAATCAAAGAATTCAGGATCTTGACCAAATTAATTCTAGTCAAACTAAATGCACCCAACAATACTGAACACTTATGTACTAGAAATTGAATTTATCAAAAAAGCTGGCATTTGGGGCTGAGAAGGTGGCTCAGTGGTAGAGCAATTGCCTTGCAAGCCTGAGGCCCTGGGTTCGATTCCTCAGCACCACATAAGCAAAAAGAAAAAAGCCGGAAGTGGTGCTGTGGCTCAAGTGGTAGAGCGCTAGCCTTGAGCTGAAGAGCTAAGGGACAGCGCCCAGGCCCAGAGTTCAGGCCCCACGATTGGACCCCCCCCCCCCAAAAAAAAAGCTGGCATTTTTGCTAGAGGTGGGAGCAATATTTCCTTTTTTTTTTTTTTTTTGGCTCATAAATAGACTTACCATCTGACATATCCTTGAGGACCAGATTCTCTAATTCACTCCACTCAGTGTTGAGGCGTTTCATTAATTTGAATGCATTTACAGGATGCCCAACAAACCCTTCTGGATCTTTTGTTGCTGTGCTAGTTAGCCGATCTAACTTCTCTGCCCATCTGTAGAAGATAAAAAATAGAGTAAACATGCACTTAATAAGGGAAAACACAATTGAATAAAACACTTGGGAAAAAAAACAGATGAAATTAAAGGCTTGTGAATTATAATTATACCTATGACTTCTTGTTATTTTGGGTTTTTTTTTTTTTGGGGGGGGGGGGGGGGCTCTGGTCGTGGGGCCTGAACTCTGGGCCTGGGCACAGTCCCTCAGCTCTTCAGCTCAAGGCGAGTGCTCTACCACTTGAGCCACAGTGCCACTTCTAGCTTTTTTCTTTTTGCTTATGTGGTGCTGAGGAATCAAACCCAGGGCCTCATGCATGCAAGGCAAGTGCTCTACACCACTGAGCCACCTTCCCAGCCCTGTTTTTGTTTTTTTTAATATTCATAGAATTTGAACTCAAGGCCTGGGTACTGTCCTGAGCTCTTTTGCTCAAGGCTAATGCTCTATCACTTTGAGCTACAGCTCTACTTCTGGTTTTCTGATTGTTAATTAGAGATAAGAGTTCACAGACTTTATTGCCCCAGCTGGCTTTGAACCATGGTCCTCAGATGTCAGCCTCTTGAGAAGCTAGGATTGCAGGTGTTAGCCACCAACACGCTCGCCTTACAACTTCCTTTTAAAGTAAAGTAGAAAGCCTAAATAGGAGGACTGCAGTTTAGAACTCTTCAGATAAAAAGTGAGACCTTATCTCTAAAATAATCAAAAAGGCTGGAGATATGAGTCAAGTGGTAGAATGATGCCTGGCAAACAAAAATCCTAAACACCGAAACCCCAGTACTACAAAAAGAAAAGAAAAATCTATGGATAAACTCTAACTTGGTAAAAGCAAAATGTAAGATTTTTTTTTCTCCCAATGGCTACAGTAAATAGAACCTCCTTGTCTTAATGAAACTTGAGATCTGATTCCTCTAAAGTATTAAAAAAATCAATTTCCCCATAGATCATACAGACCAAATAACTTACTATTACAAATTAAAAATTAGCCTAACTAAAACTCAATTAAGTGTTCATTTGAATCAAATGATTTATATTTTTAAAAAACTCATCAATTTTGGTCTTAACTGGGATTTAAAGTCATGGCTTTGTGCTTATAAGATGGGCACTCTGCCACTTGAACCATGGCCTCCATCCTTCTTTTGTCGGTTGTGGGGCTTGAACTCTGGGTCTGGGCACTGTCCCTGAGCTCTTTAGCTCAAGGCAAGCACTCTACCACTTAAGTTACAGCACCACTTCTGTTTTTCTGGTAGTTAATTGGAGATGAGTTTCATAGACTTTCCTGCCCCAGCTGGCTTTGAACCATGATGTTCAGATCTCAGCCTCCTAAGTAGCTAGGATTACAGGCATGAGCCACCAGCACCTGACTTCAATTTTTTTTTTTTTAAATAACCAGGTCTTGCTATGTTGCCCGAGCTGTCCACAAATTATTCTCTTGCCCAGCCTCCTGAGTAGCTAGAAGTATAAGCACATGCCACTGAACTCAGCTTAGTTTATACAAAAATGTTTCCATTCAGCCGGGCGCTGGAGGCTCACGCCTGTAATCCTAGCTACTCAGGAGGCTGAGATCTGAGGATCGCGGTTCAAAGCCAGCCCGGGCAGGAGAGACCGTGAGACTCCTATCTCCAATAAACCACCAGAAAACCGGAAGTGGCGCTGTAGCTCAAGTGGTAGAGCGCTCGCCTTGAGCTGAAGAGCTGAAGGACAGTGCCCAGGCCCAGAGTTCAAGCCCCACGACCGAAAAAAAAAAAAAAAAAAATGTTTCCATTCAGAATCTAGAAATAAATAAGTATCTCAATTCTGAGATACTTATTAAAGGCAAAAATTCTCAGGTCAGAAATGACTATGAACCTAAGTCAATAAAATTAACACCAGTAAAACTATGTCTATTAAATACTACCAATTGCATTTATTACCATAAACTCCAAAGTGGAACCCTAGGAGGGAAGGATTAAGTGGAATTGGAAAAATGCTCCAGCAGACAGGTAGATTGGGGAGATTATAGGAAGACAGAAGATATTAGTACCGCTTTAAAAATTGTCAGCCAACTGCTCATATTAGTTCCTGTTCTTATTTTATTCCATGTTCCTAAATATTGTATGGTTAACCTTGACAATGTAATAACCAGCCAGATCCCGATGATCAGGCAGCCCGCAGCCTGGCCCACTGGAGGGGGCAGCGCGATGAGGCTGATGTCACTGCTTGGTGTCCTATGTATAGGCTGCGTGTTCTGAGCAGTGGGATGGAGAGAGAGACACAGGGGTAGAGAGAGAGACAGAAGGTGGAGAGAGAGAGACAGCAGGTAGAGGGAAAGAGGGCAAGAGGTGCCTACTGGAACAGGGCAGGCCTGGGGAGTTCATTTGGGGCCGCCTCAAGAGGCCATTTGGGACATTCCTCTAGAGAGGCATCTACCAGAGGAGAGCAGGGCAGGCCTGTAGAGAGTGGAGAGGCCTGCAGAGGAGGAGGAAGGAAAGAAAAGGAGAAGCCTTCCCCTTTGGAGCTTTGAAGGTCTGGGGTTGGAGGTTTGCAGACCGACTAATTGGTGGTTTGCAGACCAATTAATAAAGGTCAGGGCTGCCCGCTGGAGGCTTGGAGGTTTGGTGGAAGAGGCTGCTCTTGGTTCTGGGTATCTAGCCCAGGACAAGGTAGTCGCAGGCTGCTTTTCTGATGTAAACAGTATAAACAATTTTTTTTGGTCTATCATGGTACCTGAACTCTGGGCCTGAGTACTGTCCCTCAGTTCTTCAGCTCAAGACTAGCACCCTATCACTTCAGCCACAGTGCCACTTCCAGCTTTTTCTGCTTATGTGATGCTAAGGAATCAAACCCAGGGCCTCATGCATGTAAGGCAAGCACTCTACCACTGAGCCATCTTCCCAGCCCCATTTTTTGTTATCTTTAACTATGCCTCGATGGATTATCTTGCTCTTTGAAGGTCATAATTACAACATTATATCTTGACTGTCAACTTGATTAAACTGAGAATCTTTAAGAGATTAGTAAAGCACACCTCTGAGTATGTCTGTGAGACAATTTCCAGAGATGATTTAGAGAGGAAGACCTTGGCTGGGAATGTGGCTTAGAGGTAGAGTGCTTGCCTAACATGCCCTGGGTTCAATTCCTCGGTACCACATAAACAGAAAAAGCCAGAAGAGGTGCTCTGGCTCAAGTGGTAGAGTATTAGCCTTGAGCACAGAGAGGCTCAGGGACAGTGCCCAGGTCATGAGTTCAAGTGCCAGGACTGGCAAAAAAAAAAAAGGAAGACCTACTCTGGATTTGGACAGCACCATACCATAGGCCAAGGGTTGTAGATGGAGTAAAAGTGGAAAAGTATGAGGTAAGTAGTAGAGGCACTCTTGTCTCCTGAGGGATGTGATGTGAGCTGTTCTGCTCTTCTGAGTCCTTCCACCCATGATGGACTGAATCTAAATCTGTGGGCCAAAAATCTCTCTCTCCTCCCCTAAGATGTTTTTGTCACTAAGACATACATGATTCCTGGCCTAGGCTTAGGATGGTGCTGTCTATGTTTTTGTTTTAGACAATTGATTTTGTAAGACTGACAAATTACTTTCATTTCTCCTCAAAGAATGTTTTAGCTAATACACACACACAGAGACACATACACACAGACACACACCTATTTCCCCAAGTAGATCAGAATCACAATAAGTAAAATATGTATTACTTACTTCTTTATTTGCTCTAACTTGTTCTCTTCTGCCTTAATATAATCTTTTAAAGAAGTCACCAGATCTTTCTCAGTATGAATCAAATCAGTCATCTGACCTATAAGGGAAAGAAAGGAAGAAGGTTATCAAAATATTCATAGTCAGGGCTAGCTTAGTGGTAGAGTGCTTGCCTAGCATAAATGAAGCCCTGGGTTTGATTCCTCAGTACCTTATACACAGAAAAAGCCAGAAGTGGTGCTATGGATCAACAGGTAGAGTGCTAGCCTTGAGCAACAAAAGCTCAAGGACAGTTTCCAGGCCCTAAGCTTAAGCCCCAGGACTGGCAAAAAAACAACAACAAATGTACACACACACACACACACACACACACACATGTATATATACACAATCATTGTAAAATAAGAACAATTGAGAATATTTCATCCTATGGGAGGAAATAACTGAAAGCCAAAACTTCTCTGATCATGTGTTCCAATTCTAATATTTAAGCTATAGTGTTCAACTCAGGGCCTTGTGCTCTCACTTGGCTTTTTCTGGCCAAAGCTGGTGCTTTATCACTTAAGCCACACATCCACTTCTGGCTTTTTTCTGGTTAATAGGAGATAAGAGTCTTGGGGATCTGTCTACCTGGGCTGACTTTGAACCAAAATCCTCAGATCTTAGCCTCTTGAGTAGCTAGGATTACAAGTATGAGCCACAACACCTGGATCACAATGAACTCTTAAATGGAAAAAGCATGTTAGAAAACAATGTTTAGGCCAGGCGATGGTGGCTCATTCATGTAATCCCAACTACTCAGGAGGCTGAGATCTGAGGATCATGGTTCAAGGCCAGCCTGGGCAGAAAAGTCGGAGAGACTCTTATTTCCAATAAACTACTCAGAAAAAGCCTGAAGTGGTGCTGTGGCTCAAATGATAGAGCACTAGCCTTGAGCAAAAGAAGTTCAGGGAGAGGCCAGGCCCAGAGTTCAAACCCCAGGACTGGCAAAAAAAAAAAAAAAAAAAGTTTAGAATATTTTTGCTAGACATATTAATCAGGGAATTTCTTCTGTATGCTTTTCTAAATTTTCTTAAGCTTCTAAACAGCATCATTTTAAAATAACAAACTTAAAGAAAAACAAAACATTTTAAAAATAATATAAAGAGAAACAAAACAAATATATATATATATATATAATATATATGAGGACCCTTTTAGATGAGCATAAAGTAAACTATGGGATTACTCATGTTTTCACTGATGTAAAAATACTAAAAATTTAACATTTTATAATGCAAAACAGTACAAATCAAAAACTAGCTAATACTTACCAATTGAAGTAAAAAATCCTGGATGAGCCAAAGACTTGGGAAGTAGTGTCCCAACAAGTACAATATACCAAATCATCTTGGAAGACAAAGTTTACAGGTTCACACACCTACAAGAAAAATACAGCTGTTAGGAGAAAAAAAAAAAAGGAATGGCTACCTACTAATTCCCAGGAACAAAAAGAAAGTTAGGCTCCAAGGTTGCCAATTGAACTGATGTTAATCTATAAAAGCTGTTTAATAACTCTATAGTTAACTTCTTAGTTTTCATATAGAATACTACTTTGATGCTTTTGGCAGAGAAAAATGAACGTTTGTTACTACTGGAAAACTTATGCTTAAAAATAAAGTCAACTCCCAGTTAGGCATAATCCTAGCTGCTCAGGAGGCTGAGAACTGGGCCAGCCTGGGCAGGAAACTCTGTGAGACTCTTATCTCAAACTACAAAAAAGCCAGAAGAGGAGCTGAGGCTCGAGAGGTGCTAGCCTTGAACAAAAAAGCTTAGGTAGGGCTGGGAAGGTAGCTCAGTGGTAGAGCACTTGCCTTGCATGCATGAGGCCCTGGGTTTGATTCCTCAGTACCACATAAGCAGACAAAGCCAGAAGTGGCGCTGTGGCTCAAGTGGTAGAGTGCTAACCTTGAGCTGAAGAGCTGAGGGACAGCGCCCAGGCCCAGAGTTAAGGCCCCACAACTGACCAAAAAAAAAAAAAAATTCAGAGCTTTCTGATTAATCCTTAAAATTCCTAACTTATATCATCTTTCCTCTATATGGTTGAATAAATTCAATTAATGGTTGATGAAATCTGAAAATGTTCTACAACTGAGTTGACCAATGGTTAATCTTTGAGAAAGTATTGAATCAGTTACACTAAATGGGTATATGAATTGTATCTCAATGATGCTATTTCTTGAGAGGGGTGGTAAATCAGTTACACTAAATGGGTATATGAATTGTATCTCAATGATGCTATTTCTTGAGAGGGGTGGTACTAGGGTTTAATCTCAGAGCCTCATGCTTACTAAGAAGGTACTTTACCACTTGAGCCATTCTGCTAGTCACTTTTCGTTTTATTTTTAATACTTTTTTTAATTGTAAAAATACTGTACAGAGGTATTACAGTTACATGAGCAAGGTAATGAGTACATTTCCTATCAAGTATTGTTACCTCCTCCTTTGTTTTTCCCCTACCATCCCTTCCTCCCATCATATTGATTATTTTTAAGATAGGGTCTCACTTTGTGCACAGGTTGGCCTGAACTACTATCTTATTTATGCTTCCCTTTGCCATTGTGCTTCCCACCATCACACCCAGCTACTGGTTGAGGAGTCTCAAGAACTTTTATGTAGCCGGTGCCAGTAGCTCATGCGTGTAATCCTAGCTACTCAGGAGCTGAGATCTGAGGATCGTTCAAAGCCAGCCAGGACAGGGAAGTCCATTAGACTCTTATCTCCAATTAACCACCAGAAACCCGGAAGTGGCACTGTGGTTCAAATAGTAGAGCTCTCACCTTGAGCTGAGGGACAGCACCCAGGCTCAGAGTTAAAGCCCCACAACAACCAAAAAAAAAAAGATTATGTCCAGGCTGGCCTCAAACCTCAATCTCCACTTCCAAGCAGCTAGGACTACAGGATTGAGCCATCAAGTCTGGCTTTTTCCTTTCCCTTTTCTCTTTACTGGTAGCAAAGCCCTTCTGTCCTTTTGCTCTTTCTGTCCCTGGTAATGGAATTTTCTAGTGAGGATTCTTTATGGAAATATGTCAACTAAACCACAGAAAGGCTTTATCTTGATTTCTGCTGACTTTTTTTGTTGTTGTTGGTCCTGGGGCTTGAACTCACAGCCTGGGTGCTATCCCTGAGCATTTTTGCTCAAGGCTAGCATTCTACCACATTGAGCCACAGCACCACTTCTGGTTTTCATGACTAACTGGAGATGAGTCTCATGGATTTTCCTGCCGGGCTGGCTTTGAACCTCAGATCTCAGCCTTCTGAGTAGCTAGGATTACAGGCGTGAGCCACTGGTACCCAGCTAAAACTGCTAACATTCTTATTGTGCTCCTCTTACAAGACAGTAAGTTACTATTACAGTATAGTCTGCCCCAATAACAGACAATTCCATTGGTTACTTGGGCTTGCCACCTTGTTCCTCTGTGCAGGCACCTGATTCTTCCTATATGACTTCACTTAAACCAACAGGCTCAATGCAGGCCAAAGGGAAAGTTCTCTGTTCCACAACAACTGGAAAATAAACTCACTTTCCCCCTAACTTGAATCTCAAAAAATAGATCACCATGTGATGACATTCTAGAAGAACTCCTAAATCTCCTCCCTCAAGTTGCTGTTTCCAGATACTTCTTTTTTTTTTTTTTTTTGTCGGTCATGGGGCTTGAACTCTGGGCCTGAGCGCTGTCCCTCAGCTCTTCAGCTCAAGGCGAGCACTCTACCACTTGAGCTACAGCGCCACTTCCGGTTTTCTGGTGGTTTATTGGAGATAGGAGTCTCACGGTCTTTCCTGCCCGGGCTGGCTTTGAACCGCGATCCTCAGATCTCAGCCTCCTGAGTAGCTAGGATTACAGGCGTGAGCCACCAGCGCCCGGCTGTTTCCAGATACTTCTAAAACTGCACAGTAGTGAAATACACTGCTTTCTTGGCTATCTTACAGTAGTTTTTGGGAAGGCTTCTAGAATGCAGCAGATGCAGACACTTCCTCTCTAAGATTCCTGCCAAAGCAAAAGCCCTTTGCAAAATACCCTAGAGACTGAAGAGCCAAGAATTTTTTCACTGCTGAAATAGATCTCTGCCATAATTTTCTTCATGAATGAATACTACTTCCAGAAAATATACTTTCACTATACTAACAAAATGCTAATCACAAATGCTGCCTAAACTTTTAGTTCTAATCAGTTCAGATTTCCCAGATAAGATTATTTCTTTACTGCTAAAATACACTGTCACAAAAGTCTATCACCTTTGTTCTTAAACCTCACAATGAATCAAAAACCATAAGCTTACAAAAATATTTTAAAAGGCAGCTTCAGGTGACATTTTTCTAATACATTAATTTGAGAATTGCATTTAAGACTGATAGTCCAAGTGTTATTCAGATGAATAAATATGCTTTGAAATAAATATGTTTTTGAAATAAATTCTGCAAGATTAAGCAGTTTTTTCAATCTTTTTCCCCCCAGAAGTCGGTACTGGGGTTTGAACTCAGGGCTTCCTGTTTGCCATGGAGGCATTCTTCCACTACAGCCACACCTCCAGCCCAGGTTAAAAAATGATCGAACAACAAAAGTTACCGGATATCTAAAAGCAAAGAATTTTAAAAGTTATAAGAAAGCAGGGCTGGGAAGGTGGCTCAGTGGTAGAGTGCTTGCCTTGCATGCATGAGGCCCTGGGTTCGATTCCTCAGCACCACATAAGCAAAAGAAAAGAAAGCCCAACAAGAATTAAAGATAAACATACTGGGATAAAACTCAGTGCTGTAAGGTTGTGAAAAAATTGATAATAAGTTTGCCTGTTTTTGTTTTTTTTTTTTTTTTGGGTCCGGTCGTGGGGCCTGAACGCTGGGCCCGGGTGCTGTCACTCAGCTCTTCAGCTCAAGGCTAGTGCTCTACCACTTGAGCCACAACGCCACTTCCGGCTTTTTTCCTTTTGCTTATGTGGTGCTGAGGAATCGAACCCAGGGCCTCAGGCATTCAAGGCAAGCGCTCTACCACTGAGCCAACTTCCCAGCCCAAATTTGCCAATTTGTTAACTGAACTTCATTATATAATTCTGAAGCATACACTTATATTACATAATGTTTACAATACACACTATATTTTTTTAAGCTATAAGGAGAAAAAAAGAACATGAAAGAAATCTTAAAGAACAACATGTTCTCAGGTAAGGGGCGGGGGGAACTAAGTTGCCAAATTACTATTTACCCAAACACAAAACTTTCTACAGCATTTTTTCCAGGAAAATCCAGCTCTACAAACTCAATAGTTCAATCAAACCTGGGCACAGACTTTATAAGTTCTACTACATTGTAAATATTTCCAGTATTGAGTTATTAGGGTTCATTGAATTTTAAGTACAAGCTATTCAATGAATTACTAGAAGAGAACTCTTGGCAAATGATTCTATTATCCTTTCAGAGTCACATTTCTTCCAAGAAAAATGTTGCAACATTAAAAAAGTCTGTCTTTTCCAGACAAATCATCTAAAAATTAATAAAGGAGACTCAAGAATGCTTGATATTCTTTCTAAACTTTCTCAGACATTAAAAAATTTCCACAGGAAAATGAACTATGTAACTGGTGGGCAGGGACAAGAGAGGGAAAGTAGGAGAAAGAGAAGGGGTGACACTGTCCAAAAAAAGAAATGTACTCATTATCTGACTTATGAGATAGCAAGCCCTCTGTACAACACCTTAATAAAAAGTTTTTTTAAATTTTTTCACAGGGCTGGGCTCCTCTCATGACCAACAAAATAAATTTCATAGGGACCTTTTTTTTTTTTTTCGGTCAATCATGAGGCTTGAACTCTGGACCTGGGCGCTGTCCCTCAGCTCTTCAGCTCAAGGCGAACACTCTACCACTTGAGCCACAGCGCCACTTCCAGTTTTCTGGTGGTTAATTGGAGATAGTCTCAGGGACTTTCTTGCCTGGGCTGGCTTTGAACTGCAATCCTCAGATCTCAGCCTCCTAAGTAGGTAGGATTACAGGCGTTAGCCACTGACACCTGGGACCTTTTAACAATCTCTTCACTTTCCACAGTTGTTCTTAGTGTGTGTGTGTGTGTGTGTGTGTGTGTGTGTGTGTGTGTGTGTGTGTGTGTGTGTGTGTGTGTGTGTGTGTGTGTGTGTGTGTGTGTGTGTGTGTGTGTGTGTGTGTGTGTGTGCACACATACAGCTTGCTTATTCTTCCTCATACTTTCATAATCAACTCTTGGTCCTCCCAAGATCTGTGTTTCCATTTTATGTGACAATTTTCATGATTCACATAACTTGAGGTTCCAAAACCAGGCCATCACAATGTGCCACATTTACATTAGGCACACAGGTGTCAGAGGCTTACCTAGCTACTAAGGAGGCTGACACCTGAAGATTGAGATTCAAAGACGGCT